CGTCAGAGCTAGAATGGCCGTACTTCCAGTGGATGGTCAAGTTTTGTGGACCCTGTAAAGTACATGGCAATAAAATATTACCCGTTCATTAACAGACTTTATTTATTCTAAATCATAAGAATACTCACATTTACATTACACGTCAAAGTAACATTAGACCCTGCAGGATTGGCTGACTCGTATGGACCCAGCTCCTCTGACTGAAGGGGTTCTATTGTAACAGACAGTGGAGTCACTCGTACTGTTAAAAAAAATGTCGTAAAATATCATCAACATTGAGTGAATGTAACTCATCGGTGTATTTTTAGTTTGAAGATCGTAGTTACTAAATGTTTTGATGTATTCATCAATTACAGTAGGTACATTTAAATAGTTACTTTGTAAACAAATATAAGGAGCTAACATGTTGAAAACACAATAATAAATTAATCAATGTAATCAAACTTGAATACGAATATACTATACATAAACAGTCAGTCTTCTTAGATCTTAGTGCTATGATGTAAAATAAGAGGCCCATACTATACTGCTAATTATTCCTAAATAACTTACCTATACTCGTAACATTTTGCTCCCGATTACTCTGCGTTGATTGATTGTTTGAGTTGTAATAGAACGCCTGACAGGCGAACAAGCCAGCATCTGAACACACAGCATCTTTGACAACAATTTCTATCTGCATTGTGTTCCTGTTGTTTGGTCTCTCCGATGTTTCTCGCAAACTGCCGTTGAATTTAAAACTCCAGATTCTCGCTGGTGAGGTATCGGGTGGATACTAGAAATAAATGTTCAAATATAATTATCTTTACTTACAGGGAAATAGGAGAATAATGTTCATCAACATTAGTGCATGAGGAGACTTGGGTATATTTTTTGCCTCAGAATTAAAAGCTTTGTTTATACATAAAACCCGCCAATAATAATATTCTTAGTAGTTTAAAAGGTTTTGTATTGTAATGTTTAATACCTTCGGCTTTTCATTATTTTCAAAGTTTACATTATTATTTTCATAATAATTAAAATTATTCATAAAAAAAAAAACAAAAAACAACTTATAATTTTATCGCAACTCTTCTGAAATTCAATTCTATAAGCAATACAACTTTTAAACACAGAAAGTAAAAAAAAAATTAAAACTGCTTTCTTAAAAAGTATAATATTATATTTTAGTATATTACATATACTACTGTATTATATTATTATATTATTAAATTTTAATATTTATTTATAACACTATGATATTAGATGATCTCAAATAAAATATTATGCTTTATTACTTATCCTGTAAAATTTTATACAGGTAAAAAAATCGTGTTGAAATTTATCACAAAACATATTGGAAAAGCCATTGGACGATCTATTAAAAAAAACCATTACTACGCTGAATTACATTTTACTGACTAAAAGAAAATCCTTACTGTAATAATGTAGGGTAGACGCAAGCTATATTGAGCTTGAGTAGCGTATATTGTCCCATCTGTCCAAAATATAATCAACTCCCTAACTGTTGTAGCATTGGCTGGTACACCGGCACGTGACGCGTCACATGTCACAGTAAAAGTTTCTCCTGTCTCAATCACACCTGGGCTGACGATTGTCTGGCTGTTTACTAAAGGGAAAGTACCTACGTTTGTAAGTTTGTTTACTGATAATAAATTAACTACATTTATATCTGTATCTGTTTATTGATGTCGAATTAACTATGTTCATAAATGCGTCGTACTGTTTACTTATGTGAAATTAAATTTAAAAATTAAAAATATATATATATAACTGCCACAATTAATATACATAATGCTCCTTTTAAAAAATCTTCTGATTCCAATTACGAAGCGTATCGTTAAGGTATATTTAACTAATTTAATAGCAAAAAGTATAAAATTAATTATAAAAATACCTTGTGCTATGCAGCTAATCAAGAAAAATACACTCAGCATAATGACGATTTCCTTGCTTGACCCAGACAAAAGAAAAAAACTAAAATATGTTATATCGGGCCCCACAGCTTGCTTTATACCAATGGTTTAATGGGACCCTCAGTTTCAAGTGACGGTAATATCATGAACAGGCATAAATCAGGTGTATTGACTTAGGTATTTTAAAAACTGTTTGACGAGTTTTAGGGTATTGAATCTTGAGCCCACAACAAGACGACGGTCGTGAGTCATTAAAGAATGTTTACGCTGCCACCAGCCCCAGAAGGTGTAAAACTGTTGTCTGACACAGGGGCGTGGACACTGACACAGGGGCGTGGTCTCTGACACATGGGAGTGGTCTCTGACAGAGGGGCGTGGTCTCTGACACATGGGCGTGGTCTCTGACACAGGGGCGTGGTCTCTGACACAGGGGCGTGGTCTCCGACACAGGGGTGTAGTCTCTGACACTGTGGCGTGGTCTTTGACACAGGGTCGTGGTCTCTCATACAGGGGTGTGGTCTCTGACACAGAGGTGTGGTCTCTGACACGGGGGCGTGGTCTCTGACACAGAGGTGTGGTCTCTGACACGGGGGCTTGGTATCTGTCACAGGGGCTTGGCTGGTGCAGTGAGCGAGCTACTCTCCTTTCAACATCTTCATGCCATCATCGTTATTCTTTCATCTGGGATGTTGAAACAAGCTAAACCACAAATAAGGATTTAATAATAAATATTTTTAAAAATTACATGGAGATTAAAAGCGCTGTCAACAAATCTATTTGAAACGGTCGCTATATAGTAAGATATATGATTAAAACGTTCTGAATTTAGCATAGTTGCATGTAGTTATTGTTGGTGATGTAGAGTGTTGTAATATATGGATAGGTTTTCATTGTCTGAGTAATAATCACCCGCTTACTGCAAGTCATATCTGGTTACAGCCACTTGTCTGCCACTTTTGATGTCGGCCACTTTTGGTGTCGGCCATTTGTGGTGTCGGCCAATTGTGATGTCGGCCACTTTTGGTGTCGGCCACTTTTGGTATCGGCCAATTGTGATGTCGGTCACTTTTGGTGTCGGCCACTTTTGGTGTCGGCCAATTGTGATGTCGGCCACTTTTGGTGTCTTTTTGGAGGTGCCAATGTCGTGCATCAATAGGAAGCCATTATGTTTTCTTACCCAATTCATACGTGAAAAGTAAATTTGAAGTAGGTATCACAATGCTCTAATTTACTAATTTAAAAATAAAATAACTGCTGTTATTTAATACTTTCCTTATTAATTTAAACTATATTTTTTAAAATACCGAACACTCGTTTTATAAAGTAAATTTGTTTTTCTGTTAGCGTCTGCGTAATAGTTTGAAATTTTAGAAGCATTTTTACTGAAACTTATTTACACGTATAGTAGCGCCCCTGAAAACCAACATTCCTAAAATAAGAGCCTAACACAACCAGGATCTGACCACAAACTTTATTGTTTATGTTTTGTAGTGTGTCTACTACTCTTTACGACACGTCATTCAGTTGAGTTGAAGTACGCTCTTACTTATACAAAGATTTGATTTATGGTAATTTTGCATACCTCTGCTATCACTGAATATTAAATTATTGATTATGTTAATTTGTCGACCTACTCTCTAGTTCTAAACAAATGTAACTAAAGACTGCTATAATTTGTAGTGCTGTCTTTAAAAAAAAAGATACAAACATCTGTAACAGAATCATTGTTTTTTTTTAAATTATAAGATTTTAACTATAGTAATGTGAGTTAAACACTTAACATAATCTGATCAATAGAATTGACAAGCTTAGGTCAACAGTCGCCCTGTCTAGTCAAAGTTTAGTGTTACTAGTTTTAAAACAAAATTTTACAATATTTTGGGTATACTATAAGTTATTCAGTTATGTTTTATATTATGTTTATCAATGCATTTATTTAAAACGATAAATCAATGAAATATAAATAAATGATTATCTCATTATTTCAAAACTTAACAAATATATCGAGTGTTTAACTAATGTTTAAAAATCACATGGTTAAGAAACATAACTTCTAGCTTTTTAAAAATGTTCTAATGTCAAGGACAAAATAAAGTGAAAAACTTACAAGTAACAAGATACAGAAAAGGATAAGAAATAAAAGTAAAACAAATGTAACATAGTTTTTTGTTCTAAAGAACTTGCCGTTTTATCCTTAGGTGTACAATGTGTATAAAAAACAATAAAAAGGTGTCTTATAATGAATTTTTTGTTCAGCTATGCATACAATACCTTCTAAGTAAATAAGCTGTAGGTTGAAATTTCAAGAAAATAAATCGGGAGTAATCTCCCCAAAACTTTGACGAATCTCGAATATTCTTATATAAAATAACAAGGGATGGGAACTCGGGCTATAGACATGATTTTTAATCCATTTTAAATACTTCAAGTTTTAAAAATAGAATAAAATCTCGTAGACAAACGAATTGCACTCCAAGTGAACGCCGAATAAAAAGTGCATAATAGTGCGTAATATTATTAGTACTTTAAAAATTTACATTAGTTTTTTGAGGAATCGGAAGTAGCGTAAATTACTACTTCTGATCAACGGAAATTACTCAAAATTTAACATAAGGTAGAGAATTAGATCTTTTACTTACGTGTGAAATTTCATTTATCTATATGAAATAGTACTCAAGTTATAGGCTTTTGAAAAATTCAAAGAAGGAAAAGTACCAAATCTGGTTATCGGAAATCGCTCAAAAGTTGATACGGATCTACGATTTTGATAAAATACTTATATTTGAAATTTCATCAACCTAGCTGTAACGGTACTCAAGTAATCGTGTTTACACACGGACAGACAGACACACACACACACACACACACACACAGACAGACACAGAGACATACGGACAAGATTGCAAAATTATGTTTCTCCGTATCAGTGAGGCCTGAGTGAGGTGTAAAACGTCGAGATTTGTAAAAATCTCGATTTTTTTTTTTGCACGATTACAATACTTTTTCTATACTTCGTATATACGAGAAAGTAAAAAAACAACAAAGTTTTGCATACATTTATTTATTCAAAATGTATTATGCATATACATAATTAAGTTTCCTACATTATCCAATAATTGTAAATGTTTAACACAAATCTGGATGTATTATATTTCTTACCAATTTTGTAACAACAATATTATTTAAGATATATAAAAAAATTGCCACATGACGCAGAATTTCACAATTTTACTGAATTCCTCACAGAACTTCTTGTACCACGATTGTGTTATTCTATCACTTTTGGCCTGCAGGAGGACTTTGAGGTACTAGAGATTTTAAAAAACCAATATATGTCAATAACATACGGACGATGAGAAAATAGTTTTACTAAAGTACATTTTCATAATATGTCATTATCATGTTTCTATTTGTGTCTACTCATTCCTAGTATTTAATTTTGTCAACAATACATGTTAAATTGATTTTAAGTTTCTTAATGTTACGGCCTGGGTAGGTGGTAGAGCATACGTCTGCTAAACTGACAGGCTCGTGGTCTGCGATTCAGTCGGTAGGATATCCCTGAGCCCACCCAGCCCTGAGGGTACCTGAACTACGCTCTAGAAAGTAAAGTCGGTGGGGCACAAAGCTTACACAACTATTCCTTGATATGCCGAGGTTACAGAACACATCTGTCCCATGGTCTAGTTTCAAAATGGTAACTTATGATTATTTAGACAGTGAAAGAGAAATGAGGTATATCGGGGAGATTTTAGTAAACAACTGAAGTTATTTTTTGTCATGAACATGTGTGTTGACGGCAATAAAATTAATTATTATCTGAACAATCCGTGGCCTTTCATTGGTTTATTAACGGCGGTACTAATGTTCAGGCGATTTAAGAATATAATAATATAGTTGACCCTAGATCCTAAGTTAATATTCAGAAGCAGGAGGTAAAACTTTAATTTTCTTGGAGATACAGTAACAAAAAGTGATTGTTTTACCACCAAATTAAAATAAATTATTTTATTAAAAATATCAATCACTCTGAAAGTTTGGACGTATTTACAGTTAACCATCGTCCACACGCTTTTATGGGCGTCATGAATTATATTTTGAAAAATTACGACAGCGTGGAACTATGTATCACTACCGAGTCGAGCTCAACGCTGCCAACGATATCACGGCAAAGATATAAACACTTGCTGGTCTAACGACCAGTTTCACATTGAGATGTAGAAAAAACGTATTGGCTGCTAGGATTTAACCACCTACGACATGGAGACGCCTGTTGTCTTAGGAGATGTCGCTACAGAAACAAAGTGCTCGAGTGATAGACGTTAACCAGTTAAAAACAAAACTTTACCTAATTAAATGTTTGTACATGTATCTGCTGATATGCTATCTAAGGAGCTGGTGTAACTGAAATGAGATTTTTATTAACTATTATACAAATTAAAAAATCACAGTTCGATACGATAGTTTCGTAAGATTACCTCTCTCGTTATTTTCAATGTGTTATTTTCGCAGATTGCAAATTTATTTTCTAAACTATGATAACTGTGCATAATAAAATACAAATAATTATTTTCTCAAGTAACTCTTTATTAAATGACTTAGTTAATTACATATTTCTAAGATAATAACACATTGTATCAGAGGACACAGTCGACTTTACAATAATACAAAATATTAAAAAATACCTTGAGAAAAAGAAATTAAATATATATTTGTAACCCACATGTTTCATATTATGTAGGCGTGTAATCGTTGTTTGATGCACACACGCTTATATTCATGCAGTTAACAAAAATGTCTTACTTTTGAAACTCTGACTGCAATGGTGTAGAAATGTTATACATATACTGAACTTAGAATAAATAACTATGATTACCTATTTTAGTGTATATGGTCATGTTCCCAATTTTAGTGTCTCTGTTGTTTTCTGTAGCCACACACACATACATGTAGCCATCATACATGTCTTCTGTTTGAAACTTCAGTGTTGACGAATGAATATATTGGACACATGTTGTCCCAGAACTGACCAGCACAGGTTCAGCA